AATAATATAACTATATCCACCTTACGTAACAAATATATTCCCCGTTATTATTGCACAAACCCAAATATTTATAAGTTTAAAGGTCTTTTATCATTATGCAATCAACGAGTTCTGACAGGTTTATCTATTTTCCTAACCAAAATGGCTCCTCTTTTGTGAATGATGCATATGTATAACTGTTAATAGTTAAATAACTTGGGAATTATATATGGTTGTTTTTTATGTTTGCTTTGTATTTTCCATTGTATGTCATAACATGTTACTATACCGTAACGGTTCTAAATTGAACTGTCCATTCTTTCAGTTATAAATGTGTATACAAATATGTATAGTGTACTTCATTTTCCATATCTGCAACTTTATTTCCTCATGTAACACATATTATGTGTCTGAGTGTCAATACAATCTTGCTTGTATACATGCATGCACCTGTCCATCCTGTCAAAATTGAATATATGAATTCATGAACATGTACCTCATGTTACACATTTCCATGTGTCCGAGTGTTGGAAATAAAATCTGAAAATCTGAAATCTGTTTAATTAATGAAACCTTGTTTTATGTATGTTTTATTTGTTATGTAGATTGTAAAAGCTCACTGAACGAGCTTGGGTTTATCTTTGTAATCGACGATAAATAAAATTTACTTGACTTGACTTGAATAATTAATGATAAACCTCTGTTTAGACCAGTCTCATGCTCTTATGAAGGCCATAGTAAAATCAGGAACTTGTGCAAGTCTAAAACGTTTTAGTAACTCTGACGGTGTTTACTCAAATTGTGAAATTCGGTCTCTGAGAGGACAAGCTAGATCTCGTTGATTGATTGAGATAAAGGGTGCTGTCAGTTTTTACGGCTCTGTAAAACACCTTTATCTTACATAATCTATGAAAACAGCTTGCTTCTTTACGAGGACGCAGACACAACATCGATTTTCAATCTGATTATGGAGTCTACGGGCGTGGCTATTCAAATGCAGGGCGGTGTGCCCCCACCCAATGTCCAGGGTTTGCCTCCGGGCCTTCAGTATTTGGCGGGACTTACTGAGATAAATATTCACCAGCATTTAGACATGCTAGAAGGTAAGCCAAGTGAAATTAGTTAACGTTTATATATAATTAATAGCAATCGTCCGTGTCGACCCATTAGGTTCAGATTTCTCGTACGTGACGCGCGCGCGCCCCATGTCATATTTGCTCGTGCGCTTTCAAATGAAAGATTTATAAAATATATTACAGTTATGACTGCAATGTCAGCTGTAGATCTACTGTGGTTAACATACGTGACCGCTGGCCTAGATATTTACCTACTCATTGGGTCAAGCTAGCTGCGATAACGTAGCTTTCTGACGACGAGAGATTTTTTGTCTACCCGGCCGGGTATTAATGTCAGTTACTAGGTGTATTCGGTAAAAAAAAAAATCTTCGTCGCATTCACAGACAAAAAAGGCAATTTTATACTAAATTAATGCATCAGGTGTGATATTTAGAAATAGTTGTATTGTTGGGTATTCTCTATCGTCCACAAACTAAAGGCACACATAGTATTGTCGTAACAGGTAGCTTCACACTAGTGCGATAGTCGCCTATCAAGTTATAGTCTGTTTCAATTTTTGATATTTTAAGACTCGAACTCTACTGACCAAACTACTTATATAATTAGTACTACTGATCTGACAGGCTTTTATTTACATTTGTTAGTGTTTCTGGAATGTCTTTCAATTCAGAGTACATCTACAAGTTGTTTTGAATAATCATCTTTGTGGACTGCTGGTTAGTTTGGGCAGGGCATATCACCCATTGATTTATTTTTGCAACGTAATTGATCATCTGTTTTACTGAAGTCTTTGTATTCAGTAATACAGGTTTTAAATACAGTAATACAAGTTTATAGATAAAGCAAGGGTTAGATATCACTTGGATAGCCAGGGATGATCCTTGATAGCCAGGGTGATCCTTGCAATGGTTGCAACTTTTCTTCTGAAGTGCTAGCTAGCTAGCTACATTTACAGTACAAGTCAAACTGCCATTAGTGATGGGGAATCGGTTTAAAATCATAATCAGTTTGTAATCAGAAGTACAGTAGTAAACCAATTGATACTCGTTTCATAAATAAATGATAATTTTATGGGACTGAATACCCAAATAGAGTGAGAATACTATATAACATTAATAGACAGAGTTGTTAAATATACTATAATACAATAGGTTTCATACTTTTATAACATTGAGTTCAATCTTATATATCAAAAAAGGCAATATTATATTGATTAATATATGCTAATTGTATTGACTGTATAAAATTGTATATCTAATATACTAGTGCTGTAAAGTGCTTTAGAGTGGCTTATGTTAGCTAGATAGGGCGCTATATCTAATGTATATTTTATTTATTTATTTATTTATAAATATAAGATACAAGTCATAAGAATATATATGACTTTCAATACATTATTTTACATTGAAAACATTAACACTTTGATTTCAATGAAGAACCGATTATACATTGATATAAATGGAATTTGTAATTGAAAATTGGAATCAGTAATGTCAAAACAATCAATTTTCACTTAAAATAAATTGGTTTTCAGGTTTGGTTGCTTGCTTCATATGTATTTCCTACAAAGATATTTATTATGTACATACATGCATAACACTATTTTTAATGAGCTGTTGAGCTTTGGTGGGATGTGCTTTTTGCTATACGGGTATATATCCCCCAAACAGAGTTTTGTTTAATATAGGGGTATTACGGGACTTCAAATTCAACCGCATAGGTTTCTCTGCCATAGCAACCACACATAGGCTTCTGATTGATCGAAATTTTGATACTGTTTGATTTCTATGAAAATTTGTATACAGGGGTATTTCAGAGAGACTGTCGGCATCAGCCTGGCCAGGTACATTCATAAATGTGTGAATCAATATATGAAAGGCCATGGCGGCCATATTTGATGACCAACTGGAAAATACATTATCAGTGTTTTCACTAAGATTTGAATCTAATTAATTATAGGTGATTGACTTTAACAGAACAGCAGGGTAACATGTTACAACTAAGTTTGTACTTTGACATCATTCTCATAGACACAATGTTACAACTAAGTTTGTACCTTGACATCATTCTCATAGACACAATGTTACAACTAAGTTTGTACTTTGACATCATTCTCATAGACACAATGTTACAACTAAGTTTGTACTGTGACATCATTCTCATAGACACAATGTTACAACTAAGTTTGTACTGTGACATCATTCTCATAGACACAATGTTACAACTAAGTTTGTACTGTGACATCATTCTCATAGACACAATGTTACAACTAAGTTTGTACTGTGACATCATTCTCATAGACACAATGTTACAACTAAGTTTGTACTGTGACATCATTCTCATAGACACAATGTTACAACTAAGTTTGTACTGTGACATCATTCTCATAGACACAATGTTACAACTAAGTTTGTACTGTGACATCATTCTCATAGACACAATGTTACAACTAAGTTTGTACTGTGACATCATTCTCATAGACACAATGTTACAACTAAGTTTGTACTGTGACATCATTCTCATAGACACAATGTTACAACTAAGTTTGTACTGTGACATCATTCTCATAGACACAATGTTACAACTAAGTTTGTACTGTGACATCATTCTCATAGACACAATGTTACAACTAAGTTTGTACTGTGACATCATTCTCATAGACACAATGTTACAACTAAGTTTGTACTGTGACATCATTCTCATAGACACAATGTTACAACTAAGTTTGTACTGTGACATCATTCTCATAGACACAATGTTACAACTAAGTTTGTACTGTGACATCATTCTCATAGACACAATGTTACAACTAAGTTTGTACTGTGACATCATTCTCATAGACACAATGTTACAACTAAGTTTGTACTGTGACATCATTCTCATAGACACAATGTTACAACTAAGTTTGTACTGTGACATCATTCTCATAGACACAATGTTACAACTAAGTTTGTACTGTGACATCATTCTCATAGACACAATGTTACAACTAAGTTTGTACTGTGACATCATTCTCATAGACACAATGTTACAACTAAGTTTGTACTGTGACATCATTCTCATAGACACAATGTTACAACTAAGTTTGTACTGTGACATCATTCTCATAGACACAATGTTACAACTAAGTTTGTACTGTGACATCATTCTCATAGACACAATGTTACAACTAAGTTTGTACTGTGACATCATTCTCATAGACACAATGTTACAACTAAGTTTGTACTGTGACATCATTCTCATAGACACAATGTTACAACTAAGTTTGTACTGTGACATCATTCTCATAGACACAATGTTACAACTAAGTTTGTACTGTGACATCATTCTCATAGACACAATGTTACAACTAAGTTTGTACTGTGACATCATTCTCATAGACACAATGTTACAACTAAGTTTGTACTGTGACATCATTCTCATAGACACAATGTTACAACTAAGTTTGTACTGTGACATCATTCTCATAGACACAATGTTACAACTAAGTTTGTACTGTGACATCATTCTCATAGACACAATGTTACAACTAAGTTTGTACTGTGACATCATTCTCATAGACACAATGTTACAACTAAGTTTGTACTGTGACATCATTCTCATAGACACAATGTTACAACTAAGTTTGTACTGTGACATCATTCTCATAGACACAATGTTACAACTAAGTTTGTACTGTGACATCATTCTCATAGACACAATGTTACAACTAAGTTTGTACTGTGACATCATTCTCATAGACACAATGTTACAACTAAGTTTGTACTGTGACATCATTCTCATAGACACAATGTTACAACTAAGTTTGTACTGTGACATCATTCTCATAGACACAATGTTACAACTAAGTTTGTACTGTGACATCATTCTCATAGACACAATGTTACAACTAAGTTTGTACTGTGACATCATTCTCATAGACACAATGTTACAACTAAGTTTGTACTGTGACATCATTCTCATAGACACAATGTTACAACTAAGTTTGTACTGTGACATCATTCTCATAGACACAATGTTACAACTAAGTTTGTACTGTGACATCATTCTCATAGACACAATGTTACAACTAAGTTTGTACTGTGACATCATTCTCATAGACACAATGTTACAACTAAGTTTGTACTGTGACATCATTCTCATAGACACAATGTTACAACTAAGTTTGTACTGTGACATCATTCTCATAGACACAATGTTACAACTAAGTTTGTACTGTGACATCATTCTCATAGACACAATGTTACAACTAAGTTTGTACTGTGACATCATTCTCATAGACACAATGTTACAACTAAGTTTGTACTGTGACATCATTCTCATAGACACAATGTTACAACTAAGTTTGTACTGTGACATCATTCTCATAGACACAATGTTACAACTAAGTTTGTACTGTGACATCATTCTCATAGACACAATGTTACAACTAAGTTTGTACTGTGACATCATTCTCATAGACACAATGTTACAACTAAGTTTGTACTGTGACATCATTCTCATAGACACAATGTTACAACTAAGTTTGTACTGTGACATCATTCTCATAGACACAATGTTACAACTAAGTTTGTACTGTGACATCATTCTCATAGACACAATGTTACAACTAAGTTTGTACTGTGACATCATTCTCATAGACACAATGTTACAACTAAGTTTGTACTGTGACATCATTCTCATAGACACAATGTTACAACTAAGTTTGTACTGTGACATCATTCTCATAGACACAATGTTACAACTAAGTTTGTACTGTGACATCATTCTCATAGACACAATGTTACAACTAAGTTTGTACTGTGACATCATTCTCATAGACACAATGTTACAACTAAGTTTGTACTGTGACATCATTCTCATAGACACAATGTTACAACTAAGTTTGTACTGTGACATCATTCTCATAGACACAATGTTACAACTAAGTTTGTACTGTGACATCATTCTCATAGACACAATGTTACAACTAAGTTTGTACTGTGACATCATTCTCATAGACACAATGTTACAACTAAGTTTGTAC